TTAGAAAGCAGGGCTGGTGCTGTGACGGTATTGTGGGCACCAGATACTAATTGGGCTCCAGTGACCCAGTTGTCTTCGTAGAAGAGAAGGATACGTCTCTCACGGATCGCGATAGTCGTGGCGAGACGGCTCGGCACGGCGTTGCGTTGTATCGGCAAGTCCACGTTGAACAGAACATGCATCTCTGGTTTATGCATTGTTGCCAAAGGTCGTACTTGGGTACTATTTTTACCGCGTGGTGAAGTAATCTTATTGTCCCACGAATGAGCTATATTTTTTAGGCTGTGTGGCTTGAGTGTCGTGTGTCCCATCTGATATTGAGTTTGATAGATAGGAGTATCCTCATAGTGAACGGCTGATCTCTTATAAATGATCTCTTGGTCGTCACCCGGTATATCCGTTTTTGCCTTTGACTAGCCGATCGATTCGTAGTATATTTTTTAAGTGTCTTACCACAGAATATGAAGTTATCTCTGCGCCTGAAAATTTATACAGGGTGGACCGACAATTTTTTGGGTAGTTGGGGACGCTATTTGATGATTTTTAGTGAAATCCGTAATGCTCTAAGGGAAACAGCAACCGAGATATATTTTTTTTTCTTTCATTTTCACGTTTAATTTCTTGCAATTGCGCATAAATACCTTTATAACTACCAAAATTGTGCGGAGTGAAACAAAACTTTGAAATTCGAAATTCTAACCTTTTTTAGAGGTTAAGTTTATTTAAGAAACTCCTGTGGCTTAGTAGGTACCTTTCCTCATCATGAGAATAATTTGTTGGGTGAAAAAAATAACAGAACATTGTTGGTTAGGTTCAGGAACAATGTTCTTCACGTTTTCATTTGATTTGCCGGCCACCTCTGTTGTGTAGACTAATTCCTTCGCTTCGCGCCAGACCTAAAAGTCCAAAGGCGTCAGGTCTGGACACCGTGGAGGCCATGGAATAGGACCACCTCGACCAATCCACGAGTTTGAAAGACAATTGTCAAGGAACTCTCGTAAGGGTTGGACATAATGCGCAGGGTAGCTGGAAGACAATAGGCCTATCCGGTAAAATCGGTAGCAGCACATCAGGCAACTCAGTCTCGAAGAAGTCAGGATAATTCTCTCCATTTAACCGGCCCCATAAGATTTCGTCCGATAACGGCTGCCCACACGTTGACTCTGAATGGTCGTTGAAACGAGCTCTGTCTGTTCTTGTGTGGGTTTTGGCCCCGTTCTGCCAGATAATTCAGGTTGTGTATATTTTTAGGATTCTTTCGTTTTTTTTTTTTATACTCCAACTACCACGAAGGCCTAAGCACCCATTGGGTACCGTGGGGCTATGGGGGATACATGGGAAAGGGGGGACGCCACACGGACTCTGGCGAGGGAACACGTGTGCATGCAACATGCACACATTCTGGCTCCGCCTACGAGAACCGCCGGGTGGTACCTCCGCGTTCGACAGTCAGAGACCATCTACCACCTACGGACAATCACAACATCCATGGCCAAGAGAAACGTTTCTCCTGGGACGGGACTCGAACCCGCACAGCGCACGGCGGCTGATCAGGAGACCAAGAGTCTACTACTGCGGCCACCGCTGCTGCCTAAAACAAACACACAACATCCATGGCGAAGGCGAGATTCGAACTCGCGGCCCGGCCGGCCGGCTGATCAGTAGCACGACACTCTCACCCACGCGGCCAACCGAGGTCCCAAAGTTTGATTAGTCCATCCATCTGCAGACCTCCAATCACCTAGAGTTATCACCGTGTAGCAGACCTGTAACAAATGCATTAATTTAGCACAATTTTACATAAGTCAAACAGGCTCAAGTGAAGTAAGTAAAATGAAATGCAATTACTTTGAACAGTGCAATAATGAAACGGATTCTACTGGTGTGTACAACAGACCAGACTTTCCACACAGACACACCCAAGTCTCTCGGCAACAACCCTAATACTTATGGTAGAACGCGCATCAGTTGCTCTTATGATTCGATCATCAACAGTCACACTGATTTCGACCACACACTCCAGGATCTTGAAATTTTAGGTTTCCAGACTCTCAGTCACATATACGTTGTTGTGGAGGTCTCATGTGCATTGAAGTTAGCAGTGCCATAAGTCAGCACCATATCAGCATCTTCCTCGTTACTGAATTTAAACATTATGACAAAAACACCGAAGTCAGGTACAGTTAAAAGTTACAATAAAACGTGACAAAAAATAACTAGAACAAACACAGAATTCACTAAGAAAATAGTACCATCAATCGCAAATTCACTTGTGATAGCAGAGATAATCAAATCTCCTTTGGGCCTGATTTGGCACTTTTTTATATATGAGAATGCTGACTGTAGTAATTGCAAAGCAATTAGCAGGTATGCTTACGAATACCCCTCTTGCAAGTTGATTTGAAGTTGTTGACTTCCGATGCCTCGATTAAATACTTTTTATAGTACTTGTAACAATTAAATTCGAATCACTCTTCAGCAAGATTGTTTACTTTCTCAAAATAGTACGAGCGTTTAAACCTTGGCCACTATTACCCTAGTATTACTATTATGCTAGACACGATATGTACTCTTCTAGCATCCTATACCTCAATTTAATGAACTCCCTTTGTATTGGATCACAGAATTATACTGGCTTTTGATTCACTTCTATAGTAATATGTATGATGTTTATGCTTTGTTTAAATTCACCACAGATCGCTTCAAAGTAATATTGCCTCATGTTTATTTTATTTTTCAACTTCTGGAATTAAATCTTACGTACTTTGTGTTTATTTGTTTACAGCTTGATCTTTATTAACAGCTCTTTTGCGCCATTCTCAGCCCTTTTGCAGCATGAGTGAACAGATGACATGCCATAGCTCTCGTGAGTACGTCCACACAGGTTAGTTCAAAAATGGTATACTTTAATAAAAATAATACAGATCCATAAAAATGTTGAACTTCCTTATGTATGTACTGTGCTGCATGAAGGCGTTTCAATCGTCAGATTGTTAAGCTTGGGGAAAAATTGTTTATACAGATGTGAAAATGCTCTAATGTAGACTGTCTACATCCAGCATCGGAAATGGAAGGACCTCTGAAGATGCTTGCCACTCGTGCTAGCGAAACGTTAGGAAGAAATTCCAACCGACGACGACCTTTAGACCCGAATCAAGACAGCAGTTTATTAGAGGCTGTGTAATGGTAATATTGGTTCAGTGGTTCCCATCCAAATGGTGTGTGATATGATAAAGCAAACGAAGACTAGTTTTCGGGTAGAAATGATTTGTAAATTTTGCATATCTGTATTTTTTTCTGTTAGAATCACAATCATAGGTAGTAGTTTGATTAATTTGAAACTTCGCACACGAATCAAGGACCGATAACAATCCAATAATTTAATAACAGTTTTTCATTATCGTTATTAGGACAGCCAGGATTGATACATTCTTTTATAGATCCTCTGTGGGCGAGTAATAGAGATAGAGCTAGCGCGCGATCTGCACATGCGTGCAGTTTCGGACTTACTCTTTGTTGGTTCGGGTTCTCGGCATAGCACAACGGAGGCAGATACTTGTTCAAGGTAGTGCACTCTCACCTTGTTCATTGCGAATGATGCCATTAATCCTGAGTTGGGCTTCGACCGTCCACAAGATGCAAGGTTGTACGGTCTATCATGCAGTCATTTATCTAGGCTCGCGACTGTTTGCTGCTGGACAAGCTCATGTAGCACTTAGTCGTGTAAGATCTTTAAACCGTATTCGGATTGAAGAACTTGATTGCTCTAAGTTAACAGGAAAAGACGCATGCAACAGTGAAGCTTTAAATGAAACGATTAGATTACGAAATGATTCTTAAGACATTTCAATACATGTCCACAAAAAACTAATTGATAAATCGAATTAAAAAATAAAAATAAATAATAGTTAAAAAAATAACTAAAAAACACGCTTTTATAGATAACCGAACTAAGAAGTTGAAAATAATTTTTAATTACAAAGAATTTATATTGTAGTAGTAAAACTTAAAGCGTGGGGTGCATTTTACTACAGTTTCATAACTCTCCTCTCATAGATAGTTGCCAATAGAATGATTGTAACATTTAATATATCAAGAATCCCAGTCTTTTACTCTGAATTGTGTTATTCTATTAATGACTTAAATTTTATTATAATTCTATTTTTATGTCATTAATTATGATAGATTGTTCGACCATCTGGTACGGTAATATAAACACTTTTTAATTGAAAATTATTTTCTAATTTTTAGTTTGGTTAGCTATAAAAGCATGTTTTTTTATTTTTATTTTTAACTACTATTTATTTACCGCTGACAACAGCTTTATTCTATGAAATCGATTGTGATACTATCAGGAAAAATGCACGTCTGGGCTCATAAAAAATTTACAAATGCGTCCTACCCTAAGTACTACCCGAAAAAACAGCCGTCCCCTACTTTATCAAATCACACACCATTATATCGATACCCATCTAGCTCATCTTGCCTATGATGCTCGGTTGTGTAATAATCGTGGTGACATACTGCGTATGTATACTTTTAATTGAAAAAGTCCTTAATATGTCGATACCCGACTGCTGCCAACCTTTAGTTGATAATACCGATTTGGAGATATGTTCCTATTTGTCTAGACTGACAGATTCCGGCGCATAACTGCCATGTTATGGATACTGCCTAAGAGTGATGGGTGTTATAGTTATTTGGCGAATGTTGTGGTAATGTGATGGATGTTGTAGTTTTGCCGGATAATGCGGCAAGTAGGCGATGGAGTGACTACTGGTGAAAGTATGGCCGATGCAATAAGAAACTTTTGCAGGGTGTGGTACTCCGGCATTGTGGCAGTCCAATCAGTGTGTGGCGGAAAATCTCTCCCACGATACTTTTCTCTGTCATTATATTTTATTTTTGGAAGCACGTTAAGGTCTTTGAGTAAGTAGCCTATATGGTGTACGGTCCTGCTGCTGGCAACGCTGATCTGTTTGAGTCGTTGTCGTTGTAGCAGGAGTAGCCGACGGCGGCATAAACGGCGCGGCGGTAGTGGCAGCCGTCTCGACGGCCCGACGCGAAGTAGGTTAGTGCAGCCAAAGAGCGACAGAGAAAGAGAGAGCCTGCCGTCCGCGATCGCGCCGCGGCGTTTCCTGCTGCTCCTGCTGCCTTCTGACAGAATAGTGGGGGCCCCAAACACGCACACGCGGCCAAGATTGTAAAGACCATCCGCTTAGTTGTTGCTCGATCGGCTAACTGTTTGTACGTACGTCATTTCGGGCATCCTCGGCTGCGACCGCGATCGCGCCACTCCAGGCATGCCACATACACGTCGCGTCGCCCTCGTGCCATGAGCCCTGCCAATCTGGGAGTGGAGAGGTACATCGGGGCCTGTCTCATATCTCAACAGAACCATCATCGGCCCACCAATAAGCCAAGACCATCCCCGCCTCAGTCAAAAACCCAGGAATTCCTCCAGGACGTTTACAGCCACCATCAACGTCATCCGTCCTTTCGACTGCAAAGATGTCAATCGCACCAGGAGGGTTGGGCCGGTGGAATGCCTCTCATATCCTTCACAAACGCGGCCCGCCGGGCTAAAAGGGCAGACCACGACGAACTACACGGCGCTCCCCTCATCCTAGCCAAGACGTTCAACTATCGAAACAAAAAAGTGTACAAAAATAACAATGCTACGTTTCAGCAGCAAAGGCCACCGGGTACTAAAGTGTTCGAAAATTCAAACATCAAGAAACAGCATCCTCCGAGGAATAATAACAGTGCCAGTGGTCCGAGTACGGACGCCGTGAGTGTGACTAGTGATGAAAGTTCAGGATCTAATCATTCAGAGACATGCTTACCGCGAATCATCAAGCCTCGAAAGAGGCGAAAAAAGGATAAGAAACCGGCCCCCTTGCTGAGCCGACCGCTTAGCCAGGACGGATGTTTATCCACCGATAGCGCCAGTCCAGATGTAGATAAAGTTAAGACAGTTTTATTTTTGCCGTTTTCTTTGGATCCCTATACTTCGTATCGACTACCAGTTGAAGCTTCCCAAAAAATCATCGATCGATTGATCCTAGGCGATGTCGCAGAAACGCCGAAGTTACACCATGACTTTGAAGACGTTCAAGAACCTGATATCAATGGAAACCAATCAACTGTCACCTGCCAGTGTCGATATTGTGATCCTAGCGGTCAGATTTGGGATGTCGACCGGAATTGTTATTCCCCATTTTTGACTCCTCCGAGCAACAAGTCTTTCCGGTTTCCTTCCAGCTCGTCCATTTCCACCAGCTGTCTGGAACACAGTATGTCCTCAGTATCACTCGAAGAAGGAGAGGAAAATACCGCTCCTCCGCAAAAGCCAATAGGCACTCCTAGAGATCTTGAAGTTTCCACCGAAATAGTGACATCGTTGAATGGCCACAGAGACTTAGAGATCAAGTTCTTTTCGTCAAATAGTAATGGTGTCAACGAAAAAAGCACTCTGAGTAAAACGTCTAAAAGTGTACATAGTGTAGAGTTCTTATTCGAGGAGTGAATGTATTTAGCTATGTTATGATGTTCAAACTGTCAAGTAGAGTGAAGCCAAGAGGTATCTGAATGTTGTGTAAGTGAGCAATAGTGCAGTGGGTATTCCTCAACTAAAACAGGTTTTCGGTCCAAGCAGCTTGCACTAGGAACACCAAACGACCTTTTCTGAGAAAGACTCGAGGGCTCCAAGACACGAGCAGAGCCACGGTGTAGTCATTCTGATGATGACAAAAAACGAAACTAACATATAAATTCTTACCACCACAAAAAAATTATGAGAACAGATGCATACTTCGATTGGCTTACTAAAGTCTATCTTACCTCTTTTGAAATCCCTAAAGCGTAAAGAACAGAATGAACGTATTTAATAATTAAAAGAAGTATTCTTTTTCCCAAGTAATTGCAGCAACCTCATAAAATGGAGACTAGAATATACATATTTCTTTCAATAAACCAGTCGTTGCACACCAAGAGGTGAATTTTCTGCTAAAGGTTCAATAAGCCTCCGATTCACTTGTTCAAAAAAGTGTCATGTGATTTAGTGGTGACAGTGCCAAGCGATATGTAGAGAAGAATGTTGGGGAGAATGGTTTTGATGCCGATTAACAAAGCAATGGATTTATGAGTCATCAGCAACATCCGCAGTATCGCAGAGGAAATTATATCCTGCCTAGTGACCTTAAATGTTTTGATTGGGTCAAGAAACCGGTGAAGTGAAGGTGCTAACAACTGAGGCGGTTGCAACGGCAGCTAGTGTAAATAGTGTAGAGTTTGTGTACAAATAAGTAGTGATTTTTAAGGGAATTCTAAATCCATCAGGAGCGGTCTATGGACTCTATACGTAACACGATGTACTTGGAAATTCCCTGCTGCAATGGTCCAACAGGTTGTATAACCCCATGATACGTGTTTGCTGTTTACATTGTTATTATGGATTTATGAACATATATCGTATGAGTGTGGCTGGCTTCTCAAAAAACGTAACTTACTTATCTCTTTTAATTATATGTTGAAGGCATGCATCATAAGCAATAACTTCAAATATAATACCTATCATACAAAATTACACTAGTCTAGATCAGAAAGCATTGCTTAGGACTTTTTAAGTGTTTATCATATTTCAAGGCATTTAAAATATAAAAACAGTATTTTTTGTGCTTACTATTTATAAATTGATCAGATCATTACGCTTCATGTTACGCGCTTGGAACACTATTAATCTTGAAGGCAAAATGTTGCATCATGTGTTGTCTATGCAGGGTATTGAATGCATATCCAAAATTTCATTGGGTGATTTTAGTAAGAAAAGTTATATCCGATAATGCTTGGAATTATGTTCTTTCTAGAAAATTCGTTTTTGGAGAAGACATTATCATCCCCAAAAATTAATGAAAAATCGCTTACGAAAAATGCGTATTACAAATTTTTATGTAGCTACATCGCCGTATTTAATCGGTTAAATTTTTCCTTATTTGGGGTTTGAATTTTACTGATGCTTTCTTCTTCTTCGATTTAATCTGCATCTCTCCTAGTCCATTTCAACAAATTTTATTACGCTAGGCTTTTCATCAATTTTTTTTCCTCGAAACACCCAAGGATTCACTCTCGAAGCCAGGTGCTTTATTAATATGCCGTATATCTAAATAAATAATGATTCGCTAGCATTACTATTTAAACAGGGTTGCAGTGATTCAGTCACATTTTAAAACAACGACTAAACATGCCATTTGTCGAGTACTCTGTTTTATTTATGTTTGCTGTTCTCAATCAGGTCAGGGTACTGTCGCATCTCATAAACTACAAATAACATTCGTACCACAATCTGCGACAACAGTTACAAAGCCATTTTAATGCCGCTTAGGGCACCTGTTGATGCTCGATCTAAATCATTAGATCATAGCGTTCGAGAATGTTCCAAATACATTATAATAGCTTCACAAACAAGTGTTGATTATGGTGATGTATGTATTCTCTGTGTTTTGAACGTATGACATAGAGGAATACTAATAAATTTGAAGTTTGATAAGCAGATTCCACGTCATAGTTTGGTAGCAGAAAAGCGTTTTGTTATACGTTCGTATGTATTTAGTGCAACAAAATATGTAATGTATTCAACTTAAATTGGTCACAACACAGTAAAGATGGGCTGTAACCATAATTTTACAATTTGCCATATTCTAGTGCCCTGGCATTCAATAATTCATACTACTATTGATGAATTGAGTATTGACATATTCGACAGTATCCAATTCTTTGCAGGCATTTATTTGTACCTAAGTAGGACATACACGATAAAACAGGGGACAAACGTCAACAAAAATCGGTGCTTTAAATTTTGTAACCCTTGGAACTAAATATACAGCTTGAAGATCTTATAAAACGAAAAAGCTACAATGGAATCATCATTTTATGATTTACATTAACAATGAAGTGCTTGCTTTCTGTACAATGACCCAGCTTTCATTTTCAACAAAGTATTGTTAATTTGTAAATCTGAATTGGACACGGTGTGAAATCGAATTTCTCATTGCAACTTTCTCCAGAATAAGTGTCATTCATACTTGCCTTTCATCGCTTTATTAGAACTAAGACTCTCTCACTTTCACTTCAAACAACGTTTCTTAGCTGAAAGCAGTTATCCGCCAACAGATTTTATTTAGGTTGTAGTGCAATCCAATCTATTTTGATAACAAACCAGAAATGCTGTTCTGCTTTTGAAGTTGAGTGCTGGTAAAAGTTATTGCCCTGTACTTTATTACTCAGAATGTGCTTTGGAAGATGAAGCTATTCTGAGCAATGTAGATAGTTATCATTATTGCTTATTTCATTCCTGGTTTATTTAAAGGGAAATCTGCACCAAAGGCCATAAAGAAATAGTATGTCACGTTTTTGAGAAACTAGCCATTATTGGTTTTAAATCAATACATCGTAATTCTAGATGAGTGACGAAAGAGAAAACGGCAAATTGACCGATAATAAGTATGCCTGGAACGTTTCAGGTTGGCTTTTTCATAATTTATGTAACATTCTGTGGACGACGTCGTGTTGACCAACACAGTATGCAAGTGGTACCGTGTATACGGGGTTGATGTGATAAATTCTGTCACAAAATGGCTGTTTATAATATACTCATTTGAGTCTGAACATATCTATTGACAGTTTATATTGCTGGATTGTAACTACTTGTGAATGTATATATGGAACTATTTCCATTAAAATTCAATTGATTTAGTACAGTCAACATATATTTTTCTTTTATGATTATACGATACGTTTTCGATGTTTGCGGACTTGTTTTAGTAGACTTGAGATTTATTCTTATGCAAATTTAATCCATAAAAGCATCCCCAAAAGCTCTTGAACTAGTCATTAACCTTCTCTAATAAGTCTACTGATATATTACTTTGGATATTCCGAGTTGATATATCTTAGCTGGATATTCAAGGTACGTAGGTATGGACTATGAAAGAGAATATTATGAATTGCCAATTGTTTTTAGGAATATGGCGTTCCAGAACACTAGATTTACGATTATAGTCATTGTTATAAATGTTTGAGGCTGTATAATTCAAAAATTATATTCTTTCCTATGAAATGCTATTGTTTAAGTAAACTTATACCGGAAGCTCTAGAATTGACTAACTCACTTAGCACATTTAGGGTTATACAGCCTACGTTACTTGTCTCTTTTATTTTGAGATAAATCAGTTTTGATCTCAATGAAGTATTTTTGCCCTCCTCTTCGTGGTCTGCTTCCTAATTTCCAATACAATAAAGTAGAAATACAGTTTGAGTTTATATAATGCATTGCCAATCGCATCACTCATTAAACAGGCGTATGGGTGAGGTTGGTCTTTAATCTGTAAAAATGAAAGCCGAAGCAACATTTATATCGTTCATATATTGAATTATGACAAGTTCCGTAAATGGATCATGCGTCTCAGGATAAAAGTACAAAGATGATGTAGTGAATCTAATCTAAGACATGTTTAGCTTCTTTAACAGTTTTAGAAAGTGGAGAAAAGAGAGTACGAAGGTTCACAGTAAAAATTCAATTGTTTTTTAAATGATTGTTCAAGGTTTAGCTATTCGTTATAATAATTATTTCATTAACCTTCCATTATTATAGAATCCGAAAGAGCGAGAGGAATCAAAGGCTCAGATCACTTTTAATTAGTCTCAATTGAGCTGATATTCAAAAACGTTTTTGTTATCAAAGGCTTTCGTGATATTCAGGCTAATAGAATGATAGAAAGGTACGCAAATATTTGAGCGGGATACAGTATTCACTACGAATTGATAGTAGTTTTAGACTGCGATAGAAACTATACTATACCATTCACATTCTATATTATTCAACGAATAAAAAAAGCTACAAGGAGAACCGCATTATATTGTAGTTAAAGAGATTATAATTATGTTGAAACTATTTAATGATCGCTAGCATCTTATAAATGTAGGTAATATATTTTACGCACCTCATTATATTTATCTTGGCGTCAAATTCTTGAAAGAAGCTACCATAACAGTACCACCAGCCAGGTAAAAAGTTTAAATTCTCCACTACAGTAAATCGGTACTAACGATATGACTAAACACGGTAAAACTTTTTGATAGCTAAGAAAAATTACTGATAAAATATGCTACTGGGAGGCAAAACTAATAAGATTTGTTGCAAGTGTTGAAAACCCGCAACTACAGCGGTGGTAGATTACCGCCCACAGTTCAATTTTTATTTTAATAGGGGATAAGGAATAAGCAGCTGAGTCTGAAGATTTGTCTCAAGGCATTTATTTCTCGTTTATCAACAATTAGTTATCAAAATTATTAGTATCTAATCTGTAAGAACCTAGATGACTTTTTAACAGAAGACTTTCTGTTTTCGGAAAGCTTTACTGAGCTACGAACGACTAACCATTTTGGAACTGATCTATTTACTGACTGAATGTTCAGTCTCTCATAGACCTGAATACGTATTTTGGTAGCGACATTACAAATACATTAAACAAATAGTTATTAATATGGTAAACTGTCGTCATTTTAAATAAATTCTTAGTACCTTCTTTTGATCCTGAAAGTGAGATCCTTAAAGCTTGCCAGAAAACTAACGTCTTCTGGTGTTTTTTTCATGGCGGTTTGACATTTTTTTTCAAATCGGCAAATACCTGTCAGCGAAGTTGTTTTACAGCTTGATTATCCACCTTGTTAAAGAAAAATGCAGTGCACTGTATATACTTGAACGGCCACGATTACGTAAATGTACCGTGCGGCTAAATATAGCCCATCAAGCAGCCAGCGTGCGCACACATTGTTGTGCGTTAACCTGTTATGCCGGCATGTTAGCTTTCACTTTCATGCTGCTGCTGATGGTCTTTGTTTTGTTCTAAGTTACAGTGTTGCGAATTTCCGCTTCTATCATTGTATTACTTTGTCGCTCGTCAACGTGTTGGTATTTGCGGAAATAGATTACGGAGAGGAAGGACTAAGCGGTAAACTGCGTAAGGCTAAGCTGGAATTGAGGATGTACGTCGAAGGTAGTATGGCGGTGCTACTGGTATTTTGACTTTTCTAGCAGTGTTGATGGCTGATCGAGGTTGATTTGCGTGGAGCATCCATAACATGGGATACAACCGAAGTCCTTCATTAAACTCTTGAAACTAATGATATCGAACCAAGTATGTCCAAATAAAGTGGCGCTCGTTAAAATGTAGGGTGTCAAAGCTCAACTCTCCAAATGCTTCTTCCGATGGTTTCGGACAGTAAGGAAAACGATTATGTATATTCAGTTTATCTTTCAACGTACTGCAGGAAAGTTGTGTGGCTAGAAATAAAGCTTTATCGGCTGCAGCTACCTAGTAGAGGCTACTTAATATCTTGAAATATACTTAGGATATTAACCTATACCCCATCCTCGATTCTCAGAAACATCATTTTTGAGATTTGGCACCCTTTATCTGATTGACAAGCGAAATTTCACTCATTCATGTTTGTTTCAACACCGATATGCTTCTTGGTGCATTCATTAAAGCAATCATGCTACTCGTATGTTTTGCTTGTACAGTATTGAGTCGTCATGCAATATATAGTGTGTGTGCTTTTACCAACTTGCTTGAGGAAAATACTATGTGACTGTATGCTTGATGACCTCAAGACGTCGGATACCACAAACACTATATGTTGCATGACGGCTTACTTGCAATCAAAACGTACCATTAGCATTACTGGCTATGTCAACCTTTATGAACAGTATCTCTCGAAACCATCCGATGTTCTGCTACTAAGTACCTACTATTTCGTAATATTCTCATATTGGACGATTACATTTAGCACTTTTCCATTTAATCAGCGATAACGCTCACCTAAGGCTGCCAGGGTATATTTCAAGGGTACATTAAAAGATGTGGAGGGAGTTAATGGACGTTATAACGGCAGGGGGTAAATGTTGATTGCGGAATTAAGGAAAAAGATGTTTTTAATCTTGAAAGTGGGGTATGGCAAGACACGCATGTTATCAAGGTCTCTATGAATCATGTACCTGTATATTGTAGGGCTTATTGAAAAATCAATATTTTTATTGTTAAACAAAAGGTTTCGTAAGTGAATGTCATATTAATGCTATAAAAGCGTGTAACTGAAATTGTAATTGATTCACACTTCCGCTGATCACGGATTAAACTCACATGTGCACGTCAAATATCACAGAAAATTGGCTGTTGATTAAATGTGTATATATTTTCCGTCATGAGTATCGATAGAAATGTTTTCTGTGATTGCTTCTTATTCGAGTCATTTTGAAAGCGAACTGCATTCACCTCTTCTTTATAGTTTTCTTTCTGTCAATCGTACTCTGGTATTCTGCTATAAAGGAGTACAATGGTGTAGCGCTTTAATGCTGAAACTATCAAGCTCCGCGGCTACTGCTATTCAACACCAAAGCACTGGATCACTTAACGTTGGTTGAACGCGCTCAATGTCTGTTGCACTAGTCGGATAGCCAATGCTAAGCCTAGTTGCAGTGAACGGCACCTATGAAGGGATCGCGCAACGACCATCATTTGACTGATCTACTACACTTACTGCGTAGGTCATAAAAGCTATGAATGGCCTCCACTAGTACCATCTCTGAAGCAGATGTTAAATTAAATCTAACATATGACACTGACAGCACATACATGGCGTTTAGGGAACACAGGGCTACGACAAGTGAATAATGGCTACGACGTAATAGAAATGAAGGCTATCACACATGTCAGATTCCGTCTGTCAATCGCCGTTGCTTTCATTTTGCAGTAACCTAATGAGGGTGCCGGTACGCATCTGTGTGTTTTTAAAATCATATCTATATCATCGAGTTGCGACAATTCATTTCATCAGATCTTTCTGTATAATTTTAGAAGCTGGAAAATAGCAGCTTTTAATTGTAATGTGAAGTGGAAAATGTTTTTTAAAGCTTCTTTACGATATCGTTTGTGAGACTCTGAATTTAACGGGGAGATTGAACTATATATTTCCTGCGGTAGACAGCCAGTATTACTCCCGACAGTTCCGCAAAGTTTGTGAACTCGTTAGGGTGCGTCCGTGATTTCTCAAAACCGCCACAGTTTTCGCCCAGTTTCCGTCTGCTTGAATTAGCGAGAAATTAGCAACGATCAGCCAAACCAAACCTATTTCCAACCGCCTGGGTGCGCCGCCATCTCGCATGTTCTCACAGGGTTGGATTGAGAAATTTATAACATGAAACTTCACATTTTTTTTTATTCCACCTGTTACTGTTTAGTAATGGTCTATGCTTATAACGTACGGTTTTTTACGATAAGCCAAGTCGAAATGTGAATGGAAAAATACTGGGGTGTTTGTTGAAAATGTGTATACCGAGCGAAAATACTTACAGTTCAATTTGGGGTTATACAGGAAATGTACAACTTATTCATTTCAAATGCAACAAGCCACATTAACTCTCTTTTCAACTTCGCGACGATGAGTGAACTTTATTGAAGGTACTGTAGGTCTAAGAACTCGAATACACGTTAATTCTAGGCAAATTCAGAATACGAGGTAGTAGCCCAAAATAATATATGAGGAAGCAAGAAGACGTGATTTGGTATTTTCGTTGTTCTGTCTTGGTTATACCGAAAGACAATGACACAAAAAAACTCGTACATACTATTTATTGGCTACCGTGTCTGCAGTTGGCTCGAACTTAATACAAATCTAAAAATATTAGAATATGTTTCGTTGGCGATGACGAGGTTTAGAAAAAGCTAAAGATATTTGATCTGAAAACCGCATATCGATTAATCCCTTTAAGAAAATAGCTCTAGTGGAATCACGTGAATTTTCCGATGAAGCTAACCTTGATCTCAACTTCCACATAATTTGTCTGCTACTACGCTGCACCCTCTCGTTGTCTTTCAGCCACTCCAACCCTGTGTAGTTCAGTTTCGCCGTACCATTCCGACTATTCCCATCTGAGGCTACTTAGTTTACCTAAAGGGAAACATGTACGGGCTGCGTACACGAAAACTACGCTTCCAGAAACTTTCTCCATTGCCTGCATTTTACCGAATTGCATGAAAACCTTCCTTCCTTGGTTGGGTTTAATGCAATTCCTGAATTTTATTTGATTTATCATCTATTAGTAGAGCTGGTTAAGTAAGTTTTGAAATGCGCAATGTTCGGGACTGCTAAGTATGAATGCATTTTTATCCATTAACATCCATCTTGACCAAAGGACATTGTATCGTGAGTATCCATAAAGATTGGCTAGTTGCTGTGCAGATAATCTACCTGTTGTCAAACTGAACTTAATGAATACAAAACTAGTTAGGTCTGGTTAATTTTAAAGGAGAGCAAGTTGCCGATTTTGGAGTATTCAAGAACAATATTTGCATAACAAATTGTTTTCAAATATTCCAAATTATTAAGTTCAGTTGTCAAACTGGCGATGACAATAAGAGAATACAATTTCAAATGCCATTCATTACTGTCCTGCACACGACTAGTGGTGAAAAGAGTTATTGTTGTTTGAAATTGTTTGTTTGTAATTTTTTGTTATGTTTTCTGCATATTCTATGTATTTTAATCAGTAAAAATAGCTGTATGTTTTTATCAGATTAAATTGCGCGTGAATTTCAACGGTAGTTCAGCAGACGCTGAAGTGGTTGTTGGACAAATAACGATTTCAAAACATATAACATTTGATACAAGTCAATGACTCTTGATGGGCTTTGTTAGATACTTGCTCGGTGACGATACTTGTGAATGCTAAACTTATTTATTTCCTAGATTCCTCAAATTTTTACTGGAATGGCTCTAAAAGAATATGTTTTCAGTGTGATTGAATTCCTTATGTCAAACTTTACGCAATACAAGTTCTTATATTTATTGTGATATCTTGCAGCTGGAGATCGTTTCTCCCAAATGCCAATCATTAGAAATGATAGCTAATCAAATCATATTGGTTGTTTTTATGTTGAAACTAATTGTGTATTATTTTCTAAAGGTTGGTTCTTTATCTGGCCAGAAAGTATTTAAATTGTGATAATTATCTGGAACTGTTATTGTAATAGTTAAGTACAACCTGTTTAGATGTCATATATTCGTGCAATTTTGTACATCGGGTTGTTAAGTGTATTTATACACATATTGACATACAATACGGGCAAACAATGGAAGAACAATCATAGATTTAGATAATAATATGGTATTGTCCTTTCATTGTATGCATTTACACGTATGACTATATCTTAAGCATATTTCGTGTACGTAAGGCTCACAAATGAGAAGGTATTTATATATTTTGAAAATGCTGGCGTAAAAATGTTCTGTTGTCATGAAGTGGCGCCAGCAAAATCATTAAATTATTGTTTTACCATTTTTAAGTGTTTTTCACTGATATGTGTATATTTGAAAATCTTTGTATCCTAATGAAATATATGAAAATATATTTTTTGCTTCTTGACTTCGTCTAGTTTTACTTTTCCCGTGTACCTTAACATAACTTTGAGATACAAAATGTTGTTACGGAGATAATATACATATTTGCAGGACCCTCTAAAATCACATTCTAACTAAAATCTGAACATTATTTTAATTAGATATTACTCAAAGCTCTAGGACAAGTAGGTAGCCTTAAGCCTAAGGACCTAAGGGGTTCCGATTGGATGATTTTTTAAGAAAAGAAAAGCTCATATCATCATAGATCCGTTAATGTATCTTTTTCAAGATACTTTTTTGTAAATACTTTTTCGTAATAACCCTTTGGCGGATATTATTGATTTTTTTTTTTAAATTTCAAGGAATATGCTCGAATATCGAAACCAACGTAAAAGTTTTCTATCTAGGTCTGTCGGGTTTTTTGTTAAATCAAAAATGGGGGAGGGGGGAGTTTGGTGCAGAAGCAATATGACTACTACAGACATTAAAAACTACTAAAATTTCTGAACATAATTTGGATATGATGTGAAGACATCCTTGACTTGTTTGAAGTAGGCGTATCAAATTTTGTGGAGTGGATTCTCTAATTGCATACTTTGAGATATCGATATCCAACAATACTCATAGACACTAGTAGTAGTAGTAATACTAGTCCTGCCGATAGTGTATTTATCCCCAAATGTTTTGTGAATGTAAGTGTATATCATCAGTTCTGTTATTAAATGTATGAAATGGTAAAGAATTCTAATGGAGAATAGTGTCACTCCAGATACTCATTTCAATTTCCTTGAAATATTTCTATCCGTGTCACCTCTGTCACCATCAACACAGTGACATTACCTTGTAAAACTCGCGAAAGTAAAATTCGTTTACGGTCACCTAATAGATGACATTCTTTAATTTGTGAGGCTTTTTTTATTTCACAATTACCATTTTTGTACATACAACGTACGCAAAACAAAAGATTTCGAAAATCTCGACAATGTTACTCCAAGGTAGTAATTTTTTCTCTTTTCTATTGTATGGAGATAAAAACAGGACTCATTAAGATTGCATTATCCTTTCTATTCTTCGAACATTATATAACTTTAGCTTATGTAGGTAAAAAGACTTTTATGGCACTGTTGAGGTTGGATAATCTTTTCAATCAGGTAGTTTGGGTAATTCACCTGTTTTCCTATTGTGATTGAGTTTTCCTCTCACAACCGCATAACAGCAGAAAAATGTCGGTTCTGTTAAAAAATTGCGCATTTTGTCCCTTATTGAATATCGATTTCTTGGCAACGCTCGTGTTAGTAGAATACCGTCTACTGGGCAACGGAAGCTCTATAAGAAGCTGTCGTAGGGTATTTGCGATCGATTTGTTTGTTCTACCATGACATCAGGAATTCTCTTGGTGAGATATGATCACCGCCTAATCGTGGCTAACAGGAGCAGAAAGCACGTGCAAAAACTACGTGACATGACTATAAACGTAGCTCCGAAATGCAGCTTCACCAAGATACAGGGTGCTAAAGTTTATATTTTTGCTAGAACACTCGTTTAAAAGTTGTTGTTGTAGGAAAAACATAGTCTGTTCGCCTTTTAAGACTGGCTCATACAGATAGAGTTTGCTATTGAGCATGCTGTAAAGTATATTCGAGAAGTGATCCACATTACCGTAACATTACTTGATGAATGTTCATTTTCTGTTTTTAGCAATTCTCATCAATAACGTAGAAAATAATATCTTGTGTCTCTACAAATATATGTTTTATGAATCACCTTGTTTGATATTCACTTTTAATGGAATCCAAGGAGCTCTCTGTATATCATAAAATCTAGATTGAATTGAAGAAGCCTTGTGAAAAGCCACATCTCATATTACATATTACACCATCCAAGCATTTCTTTCCATGAAAGGAATTTAATTTGCCAAGTCGAAGGATTGGCTTGGCTGTCTCGTATTTCATATCATAGCATAGTAGTAGTGGCTGCTGGATTTCTTATACTTTCTCATTTTTCTAATGAATACGTGGTGATATATTTGCACAGTTTAATAAAACTGCAACTCTTGGGCGCGCATGATTAGAATTTATGAACAACATAACTATTTTGGCGATTATATTTTGTGTCTTTTTATACTGAATAGTCAGCAATTTATTTGAAAGCCTCAATCAAGTCTTCATCTATGAACTACTTTCTATTTCGTTTCTTAATATTTATTGAGTAGTTATAAAGGGTCACGCACCATTCTCATGGGACAAATTATTCTGGTGGATGTGCTGCAATCCTTGAGATTATGTTCTTCAAATGGTGTTTTTCAAATATGCACAATGCATCAACCCCATTTAAAGTGATCCAAAGGGCACAGAACCTAAATATCCGTTTGTTTTAGCAAAGCACAACTTATCAAGTCGCTCAAAAACTGTTGTTGCAAGTCATGCCAATTGACACTTTTAATATGTTCAATGTTTAATACGAGTGCGTATTTCTGGAAAATGAAATGGTAAGTATCTGACCGACTTCTACTCTCCCTAACTGCCATAATCCTCAAAATAAAAAATATTTCTCCATCATTCTGTTTTAAGTATAAATATGGGGAAATTCATGATGAGTGAAATATGTCTATCTATATATACAGGGTGGCGCATCGAAAACGAAACAGACGCATTTACTGGCAGCTCATTTTTTTTAAAAACGCTCAGACCCGTCGATTTTGTTTTCGAGGGGACACGAGTTTGGCAAAAAATCACGTTAGCACGTGCAGCCCACTAAGCGGGGGTGTCACCACCCCCACAATCTTAAATGGAAAGGGGGGTCGAGTGAAACCTTATTTTAAAGGTCTTTCAATTCCCTTTATAATGATATAAAATTTATCTACTTCAGTTCAGTAGTTTTGAAGATTTATTGATTTAAAGCTTAAATAAAACTAATACATCATCATTAGTGGAGATCAAAAAATTTGGCAGCAAAGTAATTTAAAAATGAAGAATGAACTGACCCGTTAGGCAAGTAAATGTTGAAAATGGCCACCATGACTCTCCATGCAATAATAAAGATTTTGGTCAAAACGTTGCTGCACATTTTGCAATATTTGAGGAGTAATTTGAAGGCACTCATTCACAATTCTTTCTGGCAGGTCTTCTAATGATGTTGGCTGAGTACCATAGATTTTGCTTTTTAAATGACGCCACATAAAGAAATCCAAAGGTGATATATCTGGCGATCTTGGGGGTCATTCAATGGTACCACTTCTACCAATCCATCGATCTGGAAACGTCTGATCTAAATATTGTCGAATACGTAATGCGTAATGTGGTGGAACATCAACCTATTCGCAATGTACCGCCGATCATTCTGATTTTCAAATATGGCTGTTAATGCAGGATCTATTGCGACTTCCAGTAATTCTAAATACATTTGACCGGTCAAATTACCAGGTAAGGAAAAAGGACCAACCAAAAATACCAGCCCAAACATTTAATTTTTGTAGCTGCTGTGTATAAATCTCATGATAAATTCTGGGATTAGAATCGGACCTACGCCATTTAAGAAAAAGGAACATGCGTCGGAAAAGCAAGTGTTGAATAGAAAATGTTCATCGTTTATAATTCGTTCTCTCATGTCTTCACAAAATTGTAATCGCCGATCAAAATCGTCTTCATTATGTTCTTATACCAGGTGAATTTTATACGGATGAAAACTATGGGCCTTTAGAATCCGTTGGACAGTACGTCGACTAACACCACACACAGTCTCCAATTTGCGGGTAATTAACGTAGAATCTACATAAACTTGCCCTAAAATCCCCACTTCTATTGCTTCGTTCCTTATGGGATTTTCAATGTTGCGTTTTTTATTGGCGACTGACCCAGTTTCCCGAAATTTAGCTACAAGTTCTAGAAGATATTTTCGATGCACGTTACTGTTCTCATGTCGCTCTTTGAATTATTTCTGCTGTTCTATTAGCGCACTGATTATTTCCGAAAAATATTTTGATAATTTCAACTCTTTCTGCTGTGGAATACATGTATACCATGGTTAATTTATCTAATAAAGCGTTACAAGTTATTTTAGCAACAAAGTTTGGTCAAATCAATCGCAAACTATGTACTAAATTCCTATTTAAAATAAGTACGAGATATTTCCTTATCATTCTTCAAGAAATAACTTTTTTGCCACAAAAAAAACGCTCCAATAGCTATTTTCAACAAAAAAAATGATAAACAAACCATGGGCGTAGTGAAGAGAAGCATTTACTTATTAAGTTAATTCTGTTAGTCAGATTTCTTCTGAAAGTAGTACATACTAATCTGGTGTACCTATCAAAGTCTACTTTAAGCTTTAAATTAATAAATCTTTAAAACTACTGAACTGAAGTACATTAATTTTTTATCATTATAAAGGGAATTGAAAGACCTTTAAAATAAGGTATCACTCGAGCCCCATTTCAATTTAAGATTTTAGGGTTGGTGTCACCCCCGCCCAGGGGGCTACACGTGTTAACGTGATTTTTTGCCAAACTTGTGTCCCCCTCGAAAACAAAATCGACGGGTCTGAGCGTTTTTCCAAAAAAGAAAACTGAGCTGCCAGTAAATACGTCTGTTTCGTTTTCGATGCGCCACCCTGTATATATATATATAGAATATGATCATGCGGAGAAAAGTATATAACAACAAGTAGGAAAATAATGGGCAAAATCCGCAAAAAGGAGGAAAGTGGATTCGAGCAGAAAATAGGATAGGTAACCCGAGCGATACATATTTCTGCTGGTTGGCTTCATCAGGCCCGAAATGAATGCACATATGAAACTACAAAAGTAGATACACATGCCCACACATCCGGATACGACAGTGAAAGGGAACAAACACATAGTCGACGAACAAAAAACTGGACCGATGAGGTTCGATTAGGACGGAATTATTTTCATTTTATTAATAAATGGCAACACCATGCTATGTTGTTCTTATCCACTGATTGATTTGGAAGAACTTGAAAATCTGTCAACTATTGAAAAATCCTTCGAGATTTCATCATTCCTAA